AGATGAAAAGTATGTAACGTACCCGTGGAAATTCCATAGGCAATAACATGCGTTTACCTATGAAAATTTCATGGGTGAAAACACACGCTTTTACCTAAGGATTTTTGTCAGTCGGAAACTAAGCTTTTTGTTATTTAGACGACCCTAAATTGGAAAAAAAATAAAAATAACAATAATAAATTATGTTGATGTTCTATGTTTGGAAGTTGAGGTACGTAAAATTTAGAAATTTTTTGATTTTATTCCATGATTATTTACACACGATGGTGTGCAATTATTACAAACGATCAGTCACATGGATCTGAATAACTTATTTTTTTATTTTGATGAACTGTTCAGAACATTGAGCACGGTTGTTGTCTTATCCCGCACATAACCGGAAGATTTGCAGCTTTCATCATCATCATCATCTCCATTTGCTCACCCTGCTGGCTACCGCCTGGCTGCTTCTGCTTCATTCTCATCATCATTTCCCGGACAGCATCGCACACACATTTCGAATTAATGCTCTGCAACTGTTGGCAACATTGTTGTGTCTCCTCCTTCTCGTTGGTGTTGCTTCTGGTCACCATATTCAAGAAAACTTTTTCGGTTTTTTGCATCATTAACTTCTGACAGTAGCGGAATTGGCGGCCCTGCACCTGTTTCTGGCATTGTTGGGACTTTCCGGTGGTCTCCTCGTCGTCGATTGTGGTGGTTGTCACGGTGGTTGTGATGGTGGAGGCTTCGTTGAACGCCAAGAGAGCTAAGAAGAGAGCAGCAAGAACTGTAAGCTTTGCCATGGTGAGTTTGATCTGTTAAAGGTGATAGATTGAGATGTGAGGGGATGGTGGCTGCGACGGTGGTGGTGGTGGTGGGTATTTATAGCGAGTTTGGAGTTCTGCATGGCGTTTACGTGTTGAAGGGTGTATCAAAGGTGACGAAACCTTGTTTCCACGTATTAAATTTTGCATGCAAATGATTCCACATGTGGCATGCACGTGATGTCATATGGCGTAGTTGGGGTTAATCCTCCTTACATTGGAGGCTTAAAAGACCATTCTGCCCTTGACAGTGGCATAAATTCCAAAGACCCTGCCGATTTTCCTCTTCGCAATCTCAATTTACCTTCAAGTAATGTTGACCGCTATACTTTTCATAATGATTACCCTGGATTATAAACTTTAAAATGTTTGAGTAGTTATTGAATTTATCGAATCGTTACATCTTTCGTCACTGTATCATTAATCGTTAAAAAATTAGACATAATGGATGATAGTGGTAATATTATTCATACCTAAAAAATCTTGCACCTAATTTTTTAAAGAAAAATGTTAGCACCTACTTTTTGGAATGAATAGTTTATGAACATTTGTGAATGTAATTTGAGGAAATTACGTATTAACAGGTATTTACGTTTTTCAATTCAAAAATCAGGTGTGGGGTTTATTTTACCAAAAATAAGATATTAATTGAATTCTTAAATATCAATAATAATATTACAAACTTAAATTAATATATACACCCACCCTACTCTATCCCAACACAATTTCACTCTCAAACAATAATCATTTTCCAAATTTTTCCCCTGTCTACCTTCTCTCTTTCCACACACTCTCTGTACTTCAGTGCCAATGCGAGGTCAACAACGCTTCAGGAGGATCGACGTCGCGAGGAGAGGAATGGAACTGATGCAAGAGAGCAGTGCCGATTGTGAGACTGATCTTATTGCAAAAGGAACGCCATTGTAAGACCTTTACCTATGAGCGCAGTTGCTGCTACGAAGACCTCTGTCAAGGATTGAAAAATGCCACCTAAAGAAAAGATGGCATCACTGGAATATGTACCACGATGACATTGTAACTTTGCTGCGCGTTGTACAGAGGGAAGAGACAGAGCCGGTCCTGTGATTTATGGGCCCTGAGGCGAAGCGTGTAAAGTAGGCCCCCCAACAAAAGCAATTTAAGGCCATGTTTGGCACCCATTTTTATCAAAATGCATTTTTCTCTCTCTTCTTTTAAACCACACATTCTTTATTAAAATAATATTACACGTAAATCAAAAAATTTTTCTTATTTTTTAACCACACATTTCCCATCAATTTACTATTCGAAAATACATTTTCACATAAAAATTCCTACCAAACACCCTCTAAATACAAAATTCAATGGTGTATTATGCGACCAATTGCTAACTTAAAAAACTAACATTAAAACAACAACTAAATATATTATAGAAACGATTTATATTATAAACCATCAAAACCAACAATATTTCAAACAATTAGTTGAATACTATTCGTCTTGCCATTTTAGAGGCAAAAACATCAATCAAATTTGAATAATTTAGCTGTCCAACCATTTCTTTTTCTATTGATAACATAGTCAACCCGTTTAATCTTTCTTGTGACATAGTTGATCGAAGATAGGTCTTGATCAACTTCAATTTTGAGAAACTTCTTTCCGCAGATGCAACTGTAACCGGCATGGTTAACAAAATTTTGTAAGCAATATAAGCATTTGGGTAACAAATATTGTGAGTCTTCAAATATTGCAGCACTTCAATTACTCTTGTTGCTTCATTTGGTAAATAGATCTTCAAGACTTGTAACTCCGAACATAAATCATCTCCACTGATGTCCAAACGCCCATCATGTTCAAGATATTTCTCAAGATTCATATAAGAGTTCAACAAACTTGATAAAGTTGCATCCCTTAACCTTTTCAAATTAAACAAACATCCAAATATGTCATCATATTGTTTGAATTGTTCAAATCGACCCCTCAGAGAAGATAGAGCTTGATCAATTATAAAAACAAAGTACTCAACTCTAAAAGATTCTTATGCTGATTGCTTTATCTCATCATTACCGCTTTCGTCAAATTATTTTTTCCTTCGAATTCTGTGTTTTTCGGTAAATACAGCTTCAATTCCCATTTCATTTGCCTTTTTTGTTGCTTCATCCATAGCAACGGCAAATTCGATTTCTCTATAATCTTCAAAAAAATAAAATAAGTCCTTGCAATAGATCGATAGCATGATCAATATTCATGGATTCGATTTGAAAAAATTTACTCACAATATTGACTGCATGTAACAACCTGTACCAGATTACTATGCCAAGCAAGAACTCAAAATTCTGAAGTTCATGTGTTGCTAACGACTCGGCTTCACTCTTTACTTTAGGATCTTCGTTAGATTCTGCCAAATCAAGTAAGGCTTCTCTTATTTGTGCAGTTTGCTCCATTATAGGCTTCACACTCTCAACATGACTTTCCCAACGTGTTTATGACAATGACTTCACCGTCAACCCTTTTACATTATTTTTGAAAATTTTCCATCGCTTGGTAGAAGAGGAAAATAAAGTGTAGATGCGTTGTATCACTCCGAAGAAGGATACAACTTTGGAACAACAATTCACCATATCACATAATGCTAGATTTAGACTATGAGCACTACATGGAGTATAGAAAGCTCGGGGATTCATTTCATGTACTCTTTTTTGTACACCTTTATGCTTCTCGCTCATGTTAGATCCATTATCATAAATTTGCCCTCTAATGTCATCAATCTCCAGATCAAGTTTGATCAAAGCCTTTTGAAGCTCGGTTGCAAGTTTAAGTCCTGTTGTGTCATCTACCTTCAAAAATTTAAGCCAATGTTCCTCAACTGTAGGTAAGTTTGCTGAATCATTTACAAATCGTATTATTAAAGACATATGCTCCTCACGACTTGCATCTGGAGTACAATCAAGTATAACTGCGAAATATTTTGCATGTTTAACTTTCTTGACAATTGCATTTCTCACCTCATTAGCCAACAACTGTATCAACTCATTTTGGATTTTTTTACCAAGATACGTGTATTGAATCTCTCTTGCATTAGCCCGCCGAAGGTGCTCTTTCATTACTGGATCAAACTCACTAACCATTTCCACCATTTGTAAAAATAGGCCATTATTCTCAACATTTAATCTCCCATTATCTCCTCGAAATGGCAAGGTATTTTTGGTGAGTTTTTTAACAATAGCGATTATCCTTGTTAATACATGCCTCCAATGTTCTTTTTCTACATCGATCAACAATTCAATGCTTTTATCAATTGTAGTTTTTGTTTGAAACCTATTTTCCAATTCAATCCAGCCAGTCATGCAACATAAATGGTCTTCATTTCCTTCATGACTTTTAATAGACCGATGCAAATTATGCCAATCTTTGAATCCATCATTACCTAGTTGGCCAACTTTGGTCACATTTTTGGGTGTTATAAATAACTTGCAACAAAAGCAGAAGATTCTGTCCATAGATATTGAATATACTAGCCATCTTCTATAAATTGTTTGCCCATTTTGTAGCAGTCGCTTATATTGTGAAGAATCGAAATGTCTATTTGTACAATCTTTTGGAAATGAGATGTTATCAACTCTTTTTGGACCCCTTTCAACTAAGTAATCTCTTGTTTTCTGATCAATGATTTTCCAATTCCTGGGATCATACAAATTTAGAGAAAAGGAACCCTTTTCTTCCCTATCATCTTCTTCATTATTAGAGGCGGATTTCATCACTTCTTCTTCTTTATCATCTACTTCATTAACATAGTCAGGTTGACTCACTTCTTCATCCATACTATCTACTTCATTAACATGGGCAGGTTGAATCTCTACTTCATCCCCATTCAACGCATTCACATTGTTGCTTTTGAAGTACTTGTCAATATCCCCTATTTGACTTTGAATCAATGCAATTTCATTTCGTTTCCTTTTCCTCTTTTGAGCACCAGACTAATATTTAGGAAGCATAGTGTATGAGTCTGTATCTAATGTCCAATGATTAACCTAAAAAACAGTTACAAAATATCTCAATCATCACACAATTACAATTTCCAATACAATTACTATGTGCGTCTGTGCAATTGTTCATTCCATAATAACCAATCATATAAGCCAACCAGGTTGCAATTATATAAGCCGACAAGTCTTCAAACATTTTCAATCTCTTTAATAACAAGTTAGGGCAAGCTATTGCTTACCTGAGAAGTGAAATTTTGACGATAATTGTGGAATTACACCCTTGAGTATGATCTCGTCACAACTCACAATCCTGAAACAAAAATTTATATAAAATTATATATGATATCTAAGATTGCCAAGCCTAAGATCTAGTGATGAGGGAATTAAGATTATTTAAGAGCGGCAAACCTTGATTTTATTCTTCAGTTTTAGTTAGTTGTTCTCGATAATTAGTTAATATTTGACGTTTGAATACATAAGACTCTTATAACCATCACATTCAAAATTACAATCCTTACAAACTTGCTAAAAAGTTAATTTGTTTAATGAAATATGGTGGCAGAGCCACTTCGGGTTAAGCACCGTTTCTATCAACTAAAAATAATTTTGCAATATTAATGGAATATTGAGGGCCAAAATGTTCTATTTCAAAAGTTGGGGACTAACTCTCAATTTACATATATAAACTCTACCATGCAGCATATTACATTTAAAGATAATAAATAATGTTCATGCAATATATGTCAAAGAGTAAAAGGAATTGTAATCTAATGAATTGGAACCCATAAAATGGGTCTTTTGATGAATGGATGGAATGATTTTGCATTATGATTCCTTTACAACATAATATTTTATCAAATTAGTAATATAGAAAAAGTGATTATCCAACAACACATTACACAGATAGTCTAACTGAAGGGCTAATGATTATCCAATAACACAAATGATGATTATCCAATAACACAAACGAGACAAAATCAAACAAAAAATGTAATCTTTCACCTTTACTTTAAAGAAATCACTACATAGAAAAGGGCAGTCAGCACAAAACTTTGTCAAATCTTGTGATTATATCGCACCAATTGCTCTATCCCATACTTCTAACACTGTTTTAACCTTCTTATAACTATTTATTAACAATTGGTAATGAATAAAAGCAACAGACTTTAGAAATTCCAAGCTCTAAATTTTTTAGAGTTGTATCAATTATCCAATATCACTATGAAAACAATAATATTATTTTAGTCGACCATTTTAATATAGTGCATCGGAACAAAATGTTAGCGATCAATTTCGTTTTTCCTACTCTATTGGAAGGTATATGAATCAAAATATGAAAAGCATCAAAATGCATTTGTGTGAGGAATTCTATCAAATACAAGATTCGCAATAATTTCACCATAACAATCATTAAACTATATATAAATCCACAAAAAAATACTAAAGCAAAAAAAAATCTAGGAAATGAAATTAAACTTACCTACGTGAAACTATTTCACGTTATTGGTTTCAATTACGAATTCAATTTATTTCAAGAAATTGAGCAGATCGTTGAGCTACTGTAGATGAACATTTATGTAATTTTGGGTTTCAATTACAACCTTTTTTCAGAGATGAGCGGGTTGAAGCGTATTTTGAGTTAGGGCTTGGTTGGGGTTGTATATGATCTCTTTTCATCCGTTTTTCACATTTAAACTACGGTTCATTAGGATATTGATAAATAAATTTGTAATTTAGGGGGTACTAATCAATTCTCTTCATTTTGGGCCGGCTATTTCTTTGGTTTTGGTTCTTTGGTCAGGGCTGGCTGTTTCTTTGGTTTTGGGCCGGCTGTAATTTAGGGTACTAATAAATTTGTAATTTAGGGTACCTAATTTCCTCTAATTGGTTTTGGTTCTTTGGGCCGGCTATTTTTAAGAGGGAAAAAATTATTGGGCCAAAATTAGGTCCTTTCGACAGGCTGGATAATTGATTTTGGCTTGGGCCAACTAGTCTTGTTCTTAAGAGAAATAATAATAATAATAATAATAATAATAATAATAATAATAATAATAATAATAATAATAATAATAATAATAATTGGACCAAAACGAGGCCCCCTATGGTCCTGGTCCTGGGCCTAAGGCGCGGGCTTCACTTGCCTCAGCCCAGGACTGGCCCTGGGAAGAGATAGCGTTGTCAGAATACATTGTTGCAGCGCACTCTGCATGCTGCAGTCGATTGGATTTGGTTTTGGATGTGTGCGATGATGCTATCATACCTACAGTCAATGGGGTCGATTAGGTGGTGGTAATGTGTGGTTGTGGTGGCGGGGTGGGTGGTAGTGATGGTGGTGGTGATGGTGGCGAGCAAAGTGTGGGATGCAAAGTATTTGTGATTAATTATTTGGGTGCTGTTTCTTTGGTGTCGATGATGGTTGTGACCAATTATATGCATTGTTCCGTTGATGCCATCGTGATGGTTGTGATGTGGTGGTTTTTGGTGGTGGCCTGGTCGGTGTTAATTTGTTTTGGATGGTGCAATTGTTGCCCAGAGGTAGTGGTAGTGGTAGTGGTAGTGGTATTGGTGTCTGGAGGTAGTGGTGAGGTTGTGGTATTAGTGTTGGTGTGGTTACGAATTATTTGGTTGATTGTGAAATAATGCGTGATCTAAAATTCGTTAATTTGTAACCAATGATTTAATAATTTTTAACCGTATAATAAGTTGTGACTTATAAAATTTGTGATTTGTAATCGATAAATAAATTGTGACATATAATTTTTTTTTAAAATTATGATTGATGAACAAATTGTGAACTATGAAATTTTTGGCCCGTGTTCGTAAAATAATTTGTGATCTATAAATTTTTTTATTTGTGATAGAGAAATCATCAGTGACCAATTAATTTGATAATATGTGACAAATAAATAAGTTGTTACCCATAAGTACGTACCCGTGACCATTAATTGTATAATTGTAACATTAATATATTTAATTAATAACATATTTAAGAAATTTATGACAAGATTATATGATACAATATGAAGTAGCAATAATAAATTAGAAGAACACAAGAATAATTTGGTAGAGTAATTGAGAATTTATCAATATGGAGAAAAATACAATAATATTGTGTTTACAGTATTGTCTATCTCTCTGAAACTTATACAAAGTCATATGAAGGCCAAGAATTTTGTGGAGTATTTATAGAACCCAAAAAAAAAAAAAAAAAAAAAAAAAAACTAGTTTTAGATGGAAAGAGAATAAAAAATCGTGCTAAAAGAAGGAAAGAAAATTTTTCCGAATGTGTAAGCCGCTTGAGCGATAGCCTAACACTAGGCAAGCGTGCGGCGCTCGAGCAATAAGCAGTTGACAGCGGTAGCAACAGCAGTAGAACTCAAGTGCCTCGTTTTGGGTCGAACTTGATTCCAAACACCTAGTATGGTGCCTAGGCTCCCAGATTGGGCGCCCAAGGTCCTAATTGCTGCACAAGAATTACCATACCTCTTTAACATATCTTTTAACGAATCCACAACAGTATGTCTATCAATACTCTTGTGAGAAAAATGCCAATTTATGATACCTACCTAATTTGGATTCAGGAATTTGAAAAGAACTGAACATGGAGTATTTCATGTTCATGAATGTTGAATGGAGAATTAGCCACAGAGAAAACTGATCCCATTTGAAGGAATCCAGTTCCGTAGTCATTTATTGCTAATTTAGACTCTCCATAGAGTAGACAACCTGAGTTGTAACGATCCAAAATTTATGTTTTGGATAATTAAAATATAAAGTAAAATAAAGAATTAACTTTCATAAAAATATAACTTTTGTACCAATTACAATAATTGAAAAAGAAGAATTAATAAGTCATAAAAGTAAAATAATAAATTACTCAATAATATCTTTATTATACCACTAGAAAGCAGTTCCAAACTTTAACTTGTCAAATTTGAATTATCTTAAAGGGGAAAATTTACAAATGATGACATAAAATCTCAATAAGTGAGCCACATAAATTGTAATTCATATTTGAAATTTAGCAATTCTTAACATACATAAAGAAACACGAGGATTAGAGACTGAACTTAGGTGGCCATAATCCCTGTACATAATCATAACATACATAGGGAGGCGTGGGAATCAAGAACCGTACTTCGTTACTATAATTATCGTGCGTAGTGCTACTAAACTCCAATCTACTAAACATAAACATATATGACCCATATCATATTCATAAATCTAATTCTGTATTTTAAAGTAACATTGATAATTTGAAGAGTATTGTAGTAAATGCGTAGAGGAGAATTTAACTTCTTCAATAAAGTGATAATATGTGTGTGTGTGTTTGTAGTTGTGATTGTGATTTAAGTGTGGTATTTATAGGTGCACTTGGGGTACGCAAAGGGAAATGCCATAATGGTGTCCCTATAATTGTGCACTAGATAAGGTAGTGTGTTATACTAATTAAGTAATTTAAATCAATCAATCATACTTAGATATGATTATACATATATAAAACATTTAATTAGAGTAACCATGTAATTTGAAATTAATAAACCTACATATAATTATGCATACATAGATGCACATAATTATGGTGATGCTATATTTGAAATATTGTTATATATAATTATACATATATAGACACACATAATTACGTAATATTATATTTGAAATCAATTAACCATAATTATATTAAATTATACATAGATGGTCTCACGTAATTATAATAATACTATATTTTAACTCAATCGATCATAATTATACATACATAAATGCATATAATTATAGTAATACTATAACTTAACTCTCTCTCTCTCTCTCTCTCTCTCTCTCTCTCTCTCCATTTGTGTGTGTGCCCTATGAGAACTTCTTTAGCAGCACTTGTCTTCCATCTCATTGCACTATATATATATATATATATATATATATATATATGTATGTATGTATGTATGTATGTATGTATATTCACACATCCTAACTTATTTTCACATAAAAGGAATACTTAATTCCATCCAATTTCACACACACACACACACACGCACACACACACGTATTGGTAGTTCTTCAACTATTGACCGATATGCAATTTGATCCCCCTAACTTTCATCCTCTTGCACTAATGTCCTAATTTTTATAATTAACAACTATAAAGGATTTTGGGATATTAAATGAGTTCTCATTGCCACAGTTTGAATTTATATTCAAAGTTCATGGGGGTTCTCTTGAGTCATTTTCCTTGTGAATATCTTGCCAAGTTATAAGAATGTAATGGGCTATCTGAATACGTTTTCAAAAAAGAAAGGAAAGATATTTCATAGTTTGTGACATATTTGGTATGAACTATATAGCTATGATAACTCTCATATTTATGATACAGATGAAGTTATAAGTAGATTCGGGTCGAGACCCATGCCCCTCCTTATTTTACAATTATTACAACCACTAATTACTCGATTGATCATGGTGTTGTCATAGGTTCAACCAGTACACAAGTTATGACATCTTTTGTGTTGACTTCAGAATTTGTGTAATTATCTATGTTTCTGTATTGAAGATGTGTGGCACGTGCATAATTGTCGACTATTTCCAGGAGAAGAATTTTTGGTGTTGGCACCACGGTTGGATGAAGGCATTCTTCATTTATATCTTTCCATGCATCCAGAACTAGTTCTTGAAGTTCTGCAAATGCCTCCTCTTTTGTGGCACCCTTGTTTTGATTCATGTAGCATTCAACTGCAGTTATTTTCTGCTCAAACTACAAAAATACACTCAAACACAAGTTAAGGTTCAGTAATTAGTCCACTGGTAAATCAATGTGTTATGTTTTTAGGGACATCACCAATGAATAAATTTGTGTATTCTCTAATAACTTCAATTTTCCTATCCTTCAACAAGATATCAGAGCTTATAAAGGTTTAATGAAAATTACATTAAGTTGTATTGTTGTTGTACAAAGTCGGTATGTGGAATCGACCTCCACAATTAGATCGTCGAGGTGTTGGAATGAGTAGAAAGCCCCTAATCTTGAAGGTGCTGGAGGTAGAATCTAAACCCTAACAAAAAATTTCAATAAGAATAATTTAAAAATTTCACACTTGTAATTTTAATTTTGCCCTAATTTTTCATAGAAAAAGAGATCGTTATTAGGATTTTTTTTGGATTACCATTAAAAGAAAGAGAGAGATAGAGATTACAAAAGATAGGCGTACGATTTTCTCTTGTAAACTTCTTTTTAATAATTAATTACTGTAACTACGAAAGAAAACGTAGTCTCACATTGAGGCAGACTTCGATAAATCTTACGTGTGTAAGTGTTATGCCCTAACTTCAATCGATTCAGGTTGTAAAACACTTTTTATATGTTTAGTGCATTTATTTTGGCAAGAGCTTTTTTATTTTATTTTAATAAATGATATTAAATAATAGAATCCGCAGATTCAAGTTTTAGTGATTTGTTAGTCACAAAGAATTGTGATTGGGAGATACAAATCACATATGATTGAATCTTAAATCATTTGGGGTCTAAGCAATAACGAGATATGAATATCGTTATTACGGATAGACTATCACATGTGGCTTTTACTTATGAAGTAAGTAACTGATCTCACAAACTAAAGCGTGGTAACACTTAATGAACACATGGATGTTTTATTATAGATAAAAAATTGGAGACCCATAAGGAGATTTTACACTGATAACTATGTGAGTGTCAGTGGTCAATCTCTAATGTTCGGGGGTGGAATTAGTCATTTGACTTGAGATCATCATAGTGCCTTATATGAGGGGAATCATACTCTGATGATGTTGAATGTTGCTCTGTTAAGGGTCGCTAATACGATATCGTTCGGGTATGTCAAGAGTCATATGAAGGTTGTGAATAATCAATAGAAGATTTCTCGCTCTTAGATAGTAAGAGATTATGACCTACATTTCATTCAGTTAAGTTGATAACGAAATCATTGGCCAAAGTGTACTCATAAGTCGAAAAGGAGTTTTCGGCTTGTATTGACTTAATAGTGGAATGAAAGATATGATCGATAATTAAGATTGATCCTTATCTATATCTTGTAATTGATTGGATCTTATTGACGAATGAATTATAGTTTTACGGTAAACGAACAAGTTTGGCTTTGTCATAACAAGTGACATTTCCCGTCATATGTATTGTTCCGACACATTGTTAGATGTCAATCTGGGACGGCAAATGTGAATTGATGATAAATTAAAAGGGGTGTTTTAATTTATCAATTTTGATTAGATCAAAATAATAATTCACATCGTTAGGTATCGTGAGTGGGAACCTAATGGGTCACACATAAAAGAAGAACTAGAAGAACGAGATTTATCAATTAATTGATTAACAAGTGTTGGATGATTAATTAATTGGGTTACTTATTAATATGTCGAAATTAATTATAAATGGATTAAATAAATAAACATCTAGAGTTTGAAAATTGGAGAGATTTTTATTCTTTTTGCTAGCACAATAGAAGTAAACCCTGATACTTTCTCAATCTTGTTCCCTATGTGGAATTTTATTGGAGACTGGATAATTGGATAGTTATGGGTGGTACATCAAGATTGTTGGAACAAAAAAAATAATAAAGGAGTTTGTAGAATTTAAGAAATGTACAATTTCTATCTAAACACAAAACAGATCCTTGGTGGGAAATGAAATTTGTTTTATTTTTCACTGTGCATGATTAAGTAAATTCCCAACAACGTGTGTATTTTTCTTTTTAGAGTGTAATTGCTCTTGGTGGTATAGAAATATGATTTCTATTCACAACAAATTATACACATTTCACCTTTGATGAACAAATTGAATTTGATTAGCTCATAAAAGCAATATATTAAAGATGAAGTTTAAATGAATACTCTCCTATCAACTTTAAATAGTTCGATAATAATGATATGCCACACACTTTACTCAAATATATGTAGATGTCATGTAACAACATTAAAGAGAACTTCTTACCCCGAATCCTGTCATGTCGTTCATTATTCTACCGATTATTTCCGAACCCTGTAGGATTAAAGGATCACTTGCAACCCACTCAAAGGCTTCCTTGGTCACAACCTCTCCGATGCCTGCCAAAGCAACTGCAGATAACAATAAGCAAGTGCTAGATGGTTTTCCCACTTTTAAATACTCCTCCAGTGTTGGAATATAACCACTGTACACCCATTTTGCCTCTTGAAAATATGATCTGATCAGTCTCTTCTTCTACAAATTGAAACATATGTACATTAAGCTTACATTACTTCTGATATATAACGAGTCTATTTTGTAATAAATTAATTACCTCTTCTATCACGTAGTGAACAAGGTATGGCTTTTCTATCTTCCCCATCTCTTCCTCAATTTCGACATAAACATCTAAAATAGCTTTGTAGAAATGTTGCATGTATGTCGGCAGCTGATCTAAAACACTAAAATCCCATCTACACGTGAAGATATCCAATAGATAAATATGTGTACTATGACATTAAGATGAAAAGATGCACTGAAATGATTTACCTTTCAATTGCACCCGTGAAAAGTGTAAGGTCATCAAGGGTCCCATAAAAATCGAAGATGTCATCAGCGATAGAAATCATGGTGATTACTTTGGTTAGCATTTTCCTACCAATAGAGTATTGGGGCTCAAAATATGTTGCCAATGCCCAAAAGTAGCATTCAACTAATCTATCTCTTGCAAAAGGCAGCTTATTTTCAATCTCTAACGCCTTCCACCACCTACATAACAATTAGTTAGAGGTTAAATATAAACAAATTTTCTGGTAATTATATTCGATGTCAAACTGTCAAGGCCATTAGTTGAAATTAAAAGAAAAAAAGGTATATTTAACCCAACTAATAATGTTTCAGAAGACAAGCTAACCTTGTAACTTCGCTTAGCTCTTTCTGATGCATCTTCTGCAATAAGTTGAAGTCTAGTTTTGCAAAATTGAGGAGTTTTTCATTGTGTGAATCATCTTCTTGGTAAATAGATATGAATTTTTTTGCCCCATGTCTCGGCACAGTTTTACGAATTGGTATATCCAAAGCTTCCTTAATTTGTGTAGACAGAGAATTACACATATACCAAAGCTTCCTTAATTTGTGTAGACAGAGAATTACACATATACCAAAGCTTCCTTAATTTGTGTAGACAGAGAATTACACATATACCAAAGCTTCCTTAATTTGTGTAGACAGAGAATTACACATATACCAAAGCTTCCTTAATTTGTGTAGACAGAGAATTACACACATTGAGGAGTAGCAATTTCGACATAAACATCTAAAATAGCTTTGTAGAAATGTTGCATGTATGTCGGCAGCTGATCTAAAACACTAAAATCCCATCTACACGTGAAGATATCCAATAGATAAATATGTGTACTATGACATTAAGATGAAAAGATGCACTGAAATGATTTACCTTTCAATTGCACCCGTGAAAAGTGTAAGGTCATCAAGGGTCCCATAAAAATCGAAGATGTCATCAGCGATAGAAATCATGGTGATTACTTTGGTTAGCATTTTCCTACCAATAGAGTATTGGGGCTCAAAATATGTTGCCAATGCCCAAAAGTAGCATTCAACTAATCTATCTCTTGCAAAAGGCAGCTTATTTTCAATCTCTAACGCCTTCCACCACCTACATAACAATTAGTTAGAGGTTAAATATAAACAAATTTTCTGGTAATTATATTCGATGTCAAACTGTCAAGGCCATTAGTTGAAATTAAAAGAAAAAAAGGTATATTTAACCCAACTAATAATGTTTCAGAAGACAAGCTAACCTTGTAACTTCGCTTAGCTCTTTCTGATGCATCTTCTGCAATAAGTTGAAGTCTAGTTTTGCAAAATTGAGGAGTTTTTCATTGTGTGATTCTTCTTGGTAAATAGATATGAATTTTTTTGCCCCATGTCTCGGCACAGTTTTACGAATTGGTATATCCAAAGCTTCCTTAATTTGTGTAGACAGAGAATTACACACATTGAGGAGTAGGGAATTGAGTTGAGTGGTTGAAAACTTCAGTGCTTCCTCTAAAATTTCCTCTCCATGTACCCTAAGTTGTGTAGCTTCATACAAACTTAACAAGCCTTGTACATTGCTAATCAAAGATTCATCAAAATTTCCTTTGTGGTCCTTGAATTTGTTGAATACATCTGATTAAACCCAATAAAATATTAATTGAGTCCTTAAAAAGATGTGCAAGTTAAGGTGAATGATAACTTGGTCAAGTGGTTTATCTTACCACATGAGACGTAATATCCTTGTTGTCTAAGTAATCGAAATCGAAGAGCAATGGTACGAAAATCATTGTTCTGTTTGCCACAGCTTTCAATGTAAGTGTCATATGCATATTTTAAAGATTTTTCGATTTCCGTTACAAAATGGTAACCGACTCCAAGACATTGGATTGCCTCGATGAGGTCTAATATGTGCAAAGAATCATGTGGAGTATCTAATAGCAATTGCTTCACTTCTTCTTTTAAGCTTTAATGTTTTTGCTCTTCATGGGGCAACGTATCCTATTCAATGTATAAACATAAGCATATAACACATTAATCTGAAAATCATGTGGCATAGAATAAAAATTTCAAACAAGAAATCGATAAAACAAAAAAAGGAAAAAAGTGTAATTATCATACGGTGAGGTTAGAATCATAATCAAGGAAATAATCTCCCCAAACTGTAGGATGATATGTGACCGAGCGACGAACATTCTCAATGCCCACACTTTTTCTAGAGAAAGGAGCAGCTGATGCATGAAAATCCATTTTATATTTGGACGAGAAATGAATAGTATTTAACTACTCAATCTATTAGGCTTATTTATAGTTGAAACTGGGGTTATTAGCACAAAACGTCCCTAATGCATTTTTTTACATTTTCACCCTCTATTTACACTTTTCATTGCAAAAATCATCATTTTTATCCATTTTTTCAATAAAAATACATGAAATGATAAATATACAATCATATTTAAATAAAAATAAAGAAAAGAAAAGAAAAGAAAAAATAAAAAATTAATTACAATCACAATCCCGAATTTTTCAAAAAATTACGAATAAATCATAAATACATAATTAAAAATCAAAACTTAAAACAAAAAATTCGCTCATCTTCTTCTGTCTCCCCACCCAACACCCATTCCATCCCAAATTCCAAAGCAAACACATTTGCAGATTTCTCTTCAGATTCCGTTTTATATCTTCCCCTCCGATTTCTTTGCACATCCCAACATTTTCTCGTATTCTTGGTTCTGAACCTCATTTTTACAACTTCATTTTCTGCCCTTTTCACCCCCATCTAAGGACTGGAGGGAAGGAATTGACCCGGCAAATAATAGCCTTGTTCTATGAGTATTTTCTCGTGAAAATTCCTATGGCAATCGCATGATGTGCATATAAGGGCTTCAAGGGAGCTTTCTTTGCCACCGACCAGGAACTCTCCGCAACCGTTTGTGGCCTTACCATCTATGGTTGCGGCATGGTTCTTGAGGCATTCCATGTACTTGAAAATATCAGATCTTTTATAGGATCTCTTCTCATGTAGGCTTGGTGAATTTGGACAAATATTGGAAATTGGAGTGGAAGCGTTGGTGGCGGATTGTGGTGTGGGACGATGTCGGCGGTGGCCACCAGTGGTTCTTGGTTTTGGTTTGGTCTGAAAGTGGGGTGGAATGAGTGGGGTGTGGGGTGGGGGAGAAGATGGAAGATGAAGTGACTTTTGTGTTTTAGATTTGATATATTTTGTGAGTGATTTGTAATTTTTTGAAAATATAGGGTTATAGTTGCAATTAGTTCTTTATGTTTCTTTTCTTTTCCTTTTGTTTTATTAGAAATGACAGTAAAATCGTCAAAATGGATGAAAATGACATTTTATATAATGAAAGATGAAAATAATGGTAAAAATGCTAAAAAAATGAGAGGTAGAGACGTTTTGCACAATGACATTTAAAGGTAGGGACATTTTGTGTTATTTACCTAAATAGGAGTGAAAATGCAAAAAAAAAAAAGAAAAAAAATGCAAGATGAGAACGTCTTGCACAATAAATTTCAAACATGGGGACTTTTAGTGCTAACAACCAATTGAAATTTTAAGTTGGACTGACCTACAATGTTAGAAGAGGCAGTGACAGGCCGGTGCCCAACCCCACACATGGGGGTTGGGCCCACAAATTTTTGGGAATATTTTTTTCACGCAGAGCCCATGGCACAGTGAGAGGTCGGGCACCATTCGATCACCAACACCTTGGCCATCCAAAATTTTTCCTTTTAAGTTAGGTTGATGTCTATTTATATCCGTACTTCTTGTCCCATACTAATAAAATAATGTGCCACGAGGTGCGGATTGCATATTAAATTCAAATGCACAGTTGAAAAACTCCACTATTGAAGTTGTATATATTAATTTGGATCTTGTTATATGTACATCAAGTTTTACATAATGGATTATATAATGTCACGTGTCAATCTATCATTTGTCAATTTAAAACATAGTTTACTTTTTCATTTAATCTTTTCCCTTCACATCATTTTTCGTAATCCATTATGTACAATTTTTATATATAAGTAGCATAATCCAATTAATTTATATTCGTACTTTCGGTCCCATACTAAAAAAATAATGTGCCACGAGGTACGAGATTGCAAATTAAATTCAAATGCACAGTTAAAAAATACAACTATTATATCCGTACTTCCGGTCCCATACTAATAAAATAATGTGCCACGACGTACGGGATTGCATATTAAATTCAAATGCACAGTTAAAAAATACAACTATTATATCCGTACTTTCGATCCCATACTAATAAAATAATGTGCCACGAGGTACGGGATTGCATATTAAATTCCAATGCATAGTTAAAAAAAAAAAAAAAAAAATACACAACTGTTGATGTTGTAGATATACTTATTTTTCTAGAAGAATAAGAGACTATTTGACAGCGCTATTAAAAAAAATAAAAAAACTATTTCTGACCATATTTGAATAATTTTTGAAAGTATTTTATCCGGTTACGAGAATTTCTAGAGAAAAATTAACATAAGATATCTTTTGCAAGATACTCCTTTACAAGACGCATAGTAAAAGCAGAAATCCTATCTAATGATCATATATATTTTTATCAATATTTTTTGTTATACAAGTTGGAAACATCTTTTGTTTCAGGGTCGTTGTGGTGTGAGTTAGATAAAATGCGTGACGATAAATTGCAGTTGTAAATTTTTATAGTAATAAAAATTCTTTCCACATTTTGGTTGTCATTGTTTTTTCTCGACAACTAATGTTTTTCCCCCTCGAATTGAATTATAAATGCAGAAGTTAACGTCTCCAGCCTTATAATGTTAACAAGCTTTACAAGAGATTTTCAAGGTAAAGTTTTGAGATTCTGATTAGGCTTTCAGTTTCGCTCTTTTACGGTGTCTTTCATATGACGTATATAATACATGATATCATTAGAAAGGATACTAGGGATATGATTAGAACGGGATAGGATCTAGGAGAATTAGGGTATATTGTCTTACACAATGTTTGGTACTAAACAATATTAGAATTACCAATGTAAAATGAGAAAAAAAAATTATTTTAAATTTACTTTTTGTCTATAACATTTTTGGATAAATTGCTTTTCTTTTTCTTTTATGCTTGCGTAAATATCAAGTCAAGTAATTTTAAATTTTAATTAATAAATTATAAAAAAAACTATAAATAAATTTACCTCTATTTGGTTCAGTGAGAAAAGTAGATAAAATTTGAATCGAAGTCAACAATTAATTTTAACTACATATTTGTAAATTTCACAACTTTTTATCAAATATTTCACCATTTCAATCAAAATTTACTTAAAATCTAATTTTTATCTAAACTGTTGTCAATTTCATTTTCGCAAGTGTATGGATCGTAACAAGTAGTAAGTGGATCTAAAAGTCCGGATTAATATTCTCACGAGAACTATACTGTAGTACACAATTTATTATTTCTAACTTCTATTTGATGAAAATAAACGAAACAGTGATTGATTGTGATTTTTAATCTAACTACTGAAAAATATATAGATGTCACAAAGAATTATTGAGAATTCAAATAATAAATAGGTGTTAGGGTGGAACAATTTTCAGATATTGGTCCCCTTTACTACTTATATCTAGATTCATAAAATCTAAGTAGTGTTTGGTTGAATTCTTCTATTGTATTTAATTCACCTCTCTTGAGCTCTCATTGAGCCTATTTAAATAACCCAATTTCATATTTTTTTGCGAATCAACATTATTTAAATGAAATAATGGTTCTTAAAATTCTTATATGACCGCAACAATTAATATAGGTATCTCTCCATGTTATATCATTTTACCAAAATTTACTATATGGTTTAAATTTTAAACTCACCTCTCGATTCATAAAATATTCACAAAATCATTTAATTTGTGATCAATTAATTAAATGCATTAAATTCATACCAAAAACCAACGCATATAATATAAAGAGCAAGAATTTCGAATAAAAGAAATAACTGTTCCCAAATTGATTATATTGTTCGCCCTAAACTAGTTTTAGCTACTCATATTAATGGAAGAAAAATAAAATAATTTCATGAAAGACATCATTCGGTTTTGAATATGAATGTAGAATAAGAAATCAATCTTGTACCAAAATCTTCTCCTTCTTCCGATTGATTCTTCAAAACTTCGATTGCTTGATATTTTTCTCCTTTGAATTCTTCCTTCAAATCTCCAGTTGTATGTATCTTCCTTCCAACGAGTAGAAATCCATTTTATGTTGTGTCAAAAGCCTTGAATTCCTTCTCAGTCTCTCTCAAAATCCCAATTGTTTAATGTGCTTTATCAAAGAGAGAGCTATTAATGTTCCAAGATCGTTTGGTATTTATATGGTACGTGTTTAGGTCAAAGATTTCACCAAAACCCTTGCCAAATGGAGTTTGGATTGTATAAGGAAACTTGAGAATCGACCGAATTTTTATACCATGTGACCGCATGGTTCAGCACTTGAACGCCCAAAATTCTCCCTGCATGGTGGTGTGCGACGGGAAAAGTATAACTGTGTGGTCGCATGGTTAAAAAAACCATGCAGTCGCACACCACCATGCAGGGAGAATTTTGGGCGTTCAAGTGCTGAACCATGCGGTCATCTTTTTCTCACCAAAAAATGGATATCAAGTTGAGGCTAAAAATTCGGAGTATAATTTTTTCGGCTGGAAGTTGATTTGTGAGAATATCTCGACTCTATTTTACGCCTTTGACTTATTTCCTCATCCAATTGACTCCAAACACTCTAGAATCTTCATCATAATGTTCGACACAAATTTTGAGTATTTACATTTTGGTCCCCGAACTTTGAATCTTGCCATTTTAGCCTATTTTCTGGGTTTTCCTCTTATTTCTTCCAATTTCTTGTACCATCATTGAATTTTACCTATTCAACATCAAAAGGAACAATTTAGACCATAATTCATCAGAGAAGCCACTAAATATAATCTTTTAAGGCCCTGAATAAGTGTATAAGATATACTTATCAAATTGCCCCAAACTTAGATATTTGTTTGCCCTCAAACAAAACTACCATCTAAATAACTATCAACACACGAGCATGCAAGAGATAATTAGTTGGACAATCAAGATTTTTACCTCAGGATTCGAGATTTTGATGTTTATTCTACAAACATGCTTCAAAGTCACAATACAAACCTATATCTACTCTTCCAGTGAAAAATCGATGCATGTGTGTGAAAAATTAAGAAATCAACCATGACTAT